CCACTGATGGCTCCAGTCCAGCCTCACCTGAGTGAGTCAGCCTGGGCGTGCCAGCTGCTGGCCTTCCTGGGCTAGCTGGGGACACTCCTGTGACCCCCTCCCAGCTCTCTTTCTCTCTGGCTCTGCGATTCCCTGGGAGCTGCCCAGCCTCGGTTGTCTGCTGGGTGCCTGGGACAGGACTGGGTGTTGTCACCCACACTGTAGTTCTCAAAAGGAGCTGATGTGTGTCCCACCTCACAGATGGGACCGAGGCCCAGAGAGGGTCACTGACTTGCCCAAGGTTGCACAGCTGGCAAAGGCCGGGTCTCTTCCTGCCCAGGAGTCTCAGGACTCTGGCCCCAGGCTGTTCCTGGGGCCCTAATCCTGCCCGAGCCCAAGCCTGGCGCTGGAGCCCCAACAGAGCCTTCTGCGCCTCCTGCGGCCGGCACAGGAAGTGAGAGGTCTGTGAGTCAGCCCCTCTGCCAGTGACTTCAGCGTGCATTTCCGCCCCTCTGTAGGCCTGGCTTTGTGGGCCCTTTCTCTGCGGGCCTGAGTGTCCCCTAGAGCTGACGGGGGAGGGGGAGCACTGACCTGAGTGCCGGGTGGGGGCGGGGGCTGGCGTCAAAGCCGCCCACCCCTCCTCCCAGCAGCCAGCTGGGCCGGCTCCTCCCACACGTGGTCCCAGCTGAGGCACCTCAGGAATGCGGGGGGACCACATCGGGTTGGGTCGGTGGCTGCCCGCTCCTGTCTCCCCCTGCTGTCCCCAAGTGCCCCCACTGGTTCTGCCAAGACGGTGGCGGCCCCAGATCTCAGCTGCTGTGTGGAGTCATTTCCTCTCCCTGCGCTCTTTGTCCTGACATCCCAGCCTCTGCTCCCTGGCCCCAGGGCTGCGGGCTGCGGGCTGGGAAGCTGTCTCTCCCTCTCCCTGCCTGCTTCCTGCCGGCCGCCCCTCCCCCTGGCCTGGCCTCTCCCCGGAGAGGCAGTGCTGGGAACTTGGCTCCCGGAGCCCCCCAGCCTAGGAAGGGAAGGCTTGGGATGCTGTGGGGGAGGGGGCCCAGGGCTGTGTGCAGCTTGGACTCATTCATTCATTCCACAGATCCCTTAGCCACATGCCTGACTCTTACCACGTGCCCGGTGGGGAGCCAGTGCTCCGCCCCGACCCGGCTGCTCCCCTGTGCCTCTCTTCCCAGCTAGGCCCCTTGCTTCCTCCTTGCCCTGTCTGACCAGGGCACAGGGGGCCCAAGACCTCCTGAGGTCGGTGCCTGCAGACCCTGGCATCCGGGAGACAGAGGTGGAGGCGGCTCCAGCGCCAGGCCACCTGGGAGGGTGAGACCTGAGACCCTGGGGCCTCCAGCCTGCACAGTGGGCACAGTTGCAGAGGCTTGGGGAGAGGTGACCCCTGAGACAGGCCGGGAGGAGGGCGGGGGTTTCAGGAGGCCCAGCCTCTGTTTCCGGACCTGCACACGGAGCCAGGCCCTTGGGGGGGACTACGGAACGTTTTATACGTGCAAAGGTGTGTGAGTGCCTAACGTGGTGGACAGCAGCCTGCAGGTCATCCGCGGGTGCCCCTCCGCTCCCCCCCCCCCCAGCACTGGGGAACTTGCTCGTGTTGGCAGCTGTTGGTTGAGGGTGGGCAGGGGCAGCCTGGAGGATTCAGGCCACGATGGCTGTGCTCAGGGCCTTCATTATTCCATCTGTAAAATGGGGGTGGAGCTTTCTCTGGGGCTTTCCAGCTCAGTGCCTGGGGGATGGGTGTCCTGCTTGAAGGCACCCTGCAGAGACCGGATGGGCCCCTCCCTCCCCACCTGACAGAACAGCTTCTGGAAACTGCTGAGGAAACCCACGCTCCTGCCCCCAAGGTGATCCCCCCCACCACCTTCTGTCCTTGCCGGCCCCTGTGAGCCCGGCAGCTCTTTCAGCCCTAGGGGGCCCAGAGGTTAGATTTGGCCAGACCTGGGCTGGGACTCACTCTGCCACACCTGGCTGTGGTGGCTTTGGACAAGTCGTTGGCTCAGCCGTGGGCTGGTGCTGAAAGGGGGGATGGAGAAGCCACAGCCCCTGACCCCCAGCGGGTGCGTGCCCTCTTGGTGGGAGAGCTGCCCGGGGCCTTGTTGAAGCTGATCCCTCCGAAACCTTACTGTATGGGTGGACCCAGGTCAGGGACAGACGGTGTCTGGGAAGCAGGTGTTGAAATCTCACAGCCAGCACCTCGGCTGACCAGTTTTCGGTGAAGCTGGGCGCTCCCTGGCTCTGGGCTGAATCGCAGTGAGTGTGGGGTGTCTAGAACACCTTGAGAAATGCATCACCCATCTGGCTCTCCGTCCTGTCGCCCGGAGCTGCTGAAGGGCAGAGCTCTTCCGTGCTGTCAACACAGGAGCCGGCTGAGCCAGGTTTTCCCCGCCTGGCTGCTGTTCTCAAACCCCTGGGAGCAGCAAAGTAGGTGAGCCTGCTCAGCTTTGGACATAAAACGTCCACGAAGGGAAACCATCTGTGTACGCTCATCCCTGGGTACAGCTCGGGAAACATAGGTGGAGAGGGGAGTGCAGGGCCTGGCTTCCCGAATTGCTCGCCAGGGAGCCGTGCGCTGCACCCCAGACCTGCAGCGTCAGGGTGTGCACGGTGACCAGACGGCCGGGCCATTCCGTGTACCTTGCAGAATCGCTGCCTTGGAACGGGGGCGAGGTTTGCGTCCCGGCTCCCTGCTTGCTGGCTGTGTGCCCTCAGACGAGTGCCTTCCCCCGAACCCCAGCTCCCTCGTCTGCTGCATGGGTTTGGGTAAGCACCTTGGCCTGAGAGGGTTAATAGTTCACATTCCAGCAGATGATGTGTCCGTACAAGGCACTGAGCCCCGTACAAGGTCCCAGACTGTGTCCGCCAGGAACCCGTCGCTGTTGCCGTGTCTGGAGATCCAACACACGTGCTCGTGTTTGCGCCCTGGGCTGATGCCGTGCAGGTCTCCTTCCTTCTTTGGGCCTCCTTTTCTCCATCTGTGCAGTGGGTCTGTCTGCGCCATTTGCTCAAAGGGAAGGCGAGGCGATGCTGTGCCTCGTGCACAAGGCGCATCTCAGGGATGGGGGCGTGCGTGTCGGTGAGCTGAGCCGGGCGCTTGCGTCCGTGCCAGCTGCCCCTTCCCTGCCGCAGGACACAGCATGGAGCCTGCCCCGGCAGCCAGGCTGCGGCCAGCACTCCTCCAGCTCTCCCTCGCGCCCGCTCAGCGGCGTGGGCACCGAGCCCCCAGCCCCTCTTGCTGCCAGCGAGGCCAGGAGATGACTCAGCATGGGAAGGCGTGTTCTGGGCCCCTAGGCTCCCTGAGGGAAGTCCAGGTGCCCCCAGGGTTGGGCGGGGGGCATGGCCTGGGAACTTCTCCCCACTTCGCCTTCCTGTCCCCACCCCTTTAGGCCTGGCCTTGGTGAGAGGAAGCCTGGGGCTGGACTCTGAGCCTTGATGTATAGGGTGACCTTGGACAAATGACTACACTCTGGGCTTCAATGTCTCCTTCTGTATGACGACAGGCACCCAGGAGGGTGGGCCAGCCCGGGACAGGCCCTGAGACTCCCTCCCTGCCCCTCCTTAGCCTCCTCTGTGTCTTTCAGCCCTGGCGGCAGCTCTAGCCACAGCCTCTTGGGTCCCTAGGTCCAGACCCCAGAGCCCATGGCGGACCCAGGCCTAACTGCGATAGTCAGGGCTGGCAACGGCCGAAGAGAACGGGAGAGGGAGCGTGGGTGTAATTCAGGAGCCCCCGCCAGGGCCGGCCATCACGTGTGGGGGAGGGAAGGACCTTTCCCCTGTGTGTGCAAACAGTATCCGTTTTCTCTCATTTCCCAAAGCTGGTGACATCACCGACTCTGCATCCATTCCTCCCCTCTGGCCTATTTTTAGCTGGCCCCGACTGCATCCTAAGAGGCTTCCAGACCTTCCTGCTCCGCGGCCATGTAGGGAGGGCTGCGCGCGGTGAGGAGACAGAAGCTGCGCTGTCTGTCCCAGGACGGGCGGGGGTGGGGGGGGAGGAGAGCGGGGCTCCATGGCTCCTGGGTCTCTTGGGAGCCCGCAAGGGGACTCCTAGCTGTTGGCCTGGAGCCTGCCCATCGGGGGCTGAGTCCTGGCTCCACCTTCCACCCCACCCCGACCCAGGGCAGGGTTCTATGCCTCGGTCAACGTTTGCATCCGTGCGTGGGGCTGGTGGGAGGACTGGATTGCCTGGGGGAGAAAGGTGCCTGGTGCAGAGGACATCTCAGTACAGAGGGGCTGGTGTCGTCACTGTCACTGTCACGCAGCCGCCTGTCCTGCGGTTCACGCTGGGGGTACCCTGTGAATCCTCTCGTGCCCTCTCCCCTCCGCCCTTCCCTGCTCACGCTCAGCCACTGTGCCTGCATGGAATGACCCTTGGACCAGGGCCCGGCCTGTCGCAAACTTGAAAGAAATGGAAGCTGTTTTACTGGACTTTGTTTTGATGGAATAAAACAGGCCTGGGCTTGAATCCCAGCCCAACACGCTGACTGGCCATGTGCCTTTGGGCGAGACATTGAGTCTCCCTGAGCCTTGGCTTCCCCATCTGTGAAATGGGATAACAGCACCTGTGTAGGAGATTTCTGAGTTGGTTGGGGTGGGCTGCAGGACAAATAGACTCCAAGCTTGGAGTGTTGGGCAGAATGGAAGTTTGCTTCCATGGCTGCAAAGCCGAGCCCGAAAGCGCAACTGACTGCAGCCTGGCCCCCGGGGGCCAGCTCCGCGCCTGGTGCTGCCCTTGCACAGCCATGGGCCGCCCGTGTGGTGGGGGTGGGGAGTGGTCCCTCCTGCCTTTGTCTTCCCATACCATGTTCATGGAAGGTGGCACTGTCGCCCTCTGGTGTTACGCATCAGTCTGCCTGTCTTCTGGCACCACCACCCCTAGCTGGGAGCCCCGGGGGGACGCAGGGATGGGTTCACCCAGCACAGGCCCAGGGTGGGTGCTGGGGTCGTGTCTGAGGGCTGGGCTGGTGTGGGGAAGTCGCCATCTGAGCATCTGTCCTTGGCTTTTGCAGGTGGGAGGAGGAGCTGGCCAAGCGCATGAACCTGCAGGCCATGGTGGAGACGCTGCAGGAGGTAAGAGCCCTAGGAGGGGCCGGCCGGAGGGGCTCCGAGGCGGGAGGGGTTTCTGGCGCAGCCTCTGCTCGGGTGACCTGCTGTGCACTCTGTCTTGCGGAGGCCCCTGCTCCAGGGCTGTAGACAAGCTCAGAGAGGGAGAGCCGGGGTTCCGATCCTGCGGCTGCCCCTGGCTTGCTGGCTGACCTGGGGCCGGCCACCCCCTCTCTGGCTCTGGCTCCCTCCCTGGGGTTGGACTAAGCGGTCCCCTCAGCTCGCGGGTCCCCTGGGGGGCACCCAGCTGGAGCAGAGCTCACGGCTGCCGGCTGCCGTGGAGGGCGCCCCCTCCGCAGCTCCGTCTGGAGGCGCCGCCCTGCTACTCTCTCAGCACCTGCTGTGCCGCCGGCACAGCCTCTGCTCTCTCAGTCAGAGGGGAGCCCCACGAGGAGGCGGGAACGGGTTTTTCACAGAAAAATCTTTAAAACGTGCTTCTGAGATTGAGAGCTTGTGTCGCCTAAGCAGGTTAGAGGTGGATTAAAATGGAGATGCGTGTGGGGAAAGCGAAGGATGACGTCCCCTTTTTATTACAACGAAAATCCTTTTCCGTCTACAAACCTTGCATGCTTGTGGCGGGATATTTGGAAAATTCAGAAAAGTGCAAGGTAGACGCTAAAACTCCACCTCCGGCTCTACCCCTCCACGGTGGATGAATTGGCGTGGGTCCTTCTAGACTTTTCTGTGCAGCCCCCTGCCCTCCATAGCCCCTGATGTACACTCAGATGTGTACATTAGGTTGATGGGCACCATGTTGCGTTTGGGCAGTGTTACGTGGAGCCTAATATTTTAACAACCACCCTTCTTTGGTATCCACGAGGGCGTGATTCCAGGACCCCGGCGATACCGAAATCAGCAGTGTTCAAGTCCATTATGTAAAATGTATTTGCATATAACCTTCGCATCCTCCTGAATACATCATCTCTCCATTGTTCCCAACATTAATACAACGTGGACATTGTACAAATAGTGTTGCACTGTTTAGCGAATAACAAGAGCAAAATGTACGTACTCAATACAGATGTAATTTTTTACAAAAAAAATTTTTTTTCACTTCAAAGGCAGAGAGAGACAGAGGGAGTCATGTCCCATCTGCTGGTTCCTTCCCCCAAACGTAACAGCCAGAGCCGGGCCTGGCCAAAGCCTGGAGCCTGGAGCTCCATCCGTGTCTCCCACATGGGTGGCAGGGGCCCAGGTGCTGAAGCCACCACCTGCCGCTGCCCAGGGCGCACATTCGCAGGCGGCTGGGATCGGAAATGGAGCCAGGACGTGAACCCAGCCACGCAAATGTGGGGTGTGGCGTCCCCAACAGCACCGTTACCACTGCACCAAGCGCTCGCCCTGGGTTGGAACATTTTTGGTCCAGGGTGGGTTGGCCCTGTGGGTGCGGAAGGCTCAGCCGTGGAGGCCCGACTGCACCCTGACCACTTAGTCACGCTTTTCTCTTAAAAACAGCATGACATTTTCCTTGCAATAAATGAGCCTTTGAAAAGTGTTTTAGGCAGTCAGTAGGGCTCCGTGGGGAGCCAGGCTGGGACAAGGCCCTTGGCGGCCCGCAGCCGCCCCACCTGGTTGGACATCAGTGCCCAGGGCTCTGGTCGCGGCCGTCCGGAGCCCCCGCCCCCCGGGCTGCCCGGCTTCTCTAAAGCGTCCCCATCTCCATCCCCACAGGCGGCGCAGGAGGCCGACGCCATCCAGGAGGAGATGAACGAGAAGATCGAGCGGCTCAAGGCCGAGCTGGTGGTGTTTAAGGGGCTCATGAGTGACGTAAGTGCCGCCGCCGGGCGTCACCCCTCCCCTCACGCCCATCATGCAAAATGCTTCATTCACTCGAGGAGCTCGGCTTCTAGTTAGAGTCCTGGCTGGCTGCGTTTGACCGCAACGATGACACGGATGCATCCAGACCAGGCGCCCTCCCCGCCCCCGCCCGTGTCCGCTTCCCCGTCTGGGTCTGAGTAGAGATGCATTAATCTGCGCTTAACCCATCCTGCCCGTCCGCCTGGGCCCTCCGATGTGCGTGCGCTCGCTCGCTCCGACTGGATCCGCCTCGCTCCCAGGGGCCGAGCGGGGCTGGGCCGTGATGGGGGGCGGGGGCTTGGGGGCTGGGCGCCGTCTGGTCAGTGCTGGCCTGGGGCCCTCCGCCCCAGGGCCAGCTGCCTGCCACAGAAGCCTTTGGAAAACCAGGGGAGGCCATTGCGTGTGTCCCTGGGGCAGTTGGAGGCCTCCAGGGTAATGATGGGGTAGGGAGCTATGGGGACCTTCAGCCAGTGGGCGGTCCCTGGGGACAGCCCCCGGAGAAGGAGCCACGGGCACTGCGGTGACAGTCTGTGCGGCGGCTGGTGCTCAGGGGTGTGGTGGGCATGGATGGCAGAAGCCTCTGGGGGCCAGGGGAGGAGACCCCCCCACCGCTGGCAGCCGGGGGTGGAGTCCAGGAGAGAGCTGCCTTGGCCGCCGCCGCCATGGGGACAGGTAGGACACGGCAGGCAGGGAGGCGCTGCGTTGTCTTTCTCTTTGCTCTAACGGCGACGGACACTGGCCTGCGTGTGCTGAGGCAGGGTGCCTCCGGGCTGCAGGGAGTCCAGCTCCCACGCTCCCACTGTGTCACTCTCAAGACCCCCCATCCCGAGCAGCACAGATCCAACCCCGCACGCACGCCCCTACGGAAGGCTCCAGAGCTCTCGGCCTCCCCCCAGCCCACCCACCTCCTGCTCCCCTCCCCGCCCCTGCTCACGTAACCCCTGCTGTCCTCCCTGCAGCCCATGACAGACCTGGACACAAAGATCCAAGAAAAGGCCATGAAGGTGGACATGGACATCTGCCGCCGCATCGATATCACGGCCAAGCTGTGCGATGTCGCACAGCAGCGGAACTCGGAAGACGTGTCCAAGATTTTCCAGGTGACCAGGCCGCCCCGCTCACCAGCCGCCAGCCGCCCTCCCTCCCAGGACAGCCCTCCCAGGACAGCCCAGGCCGCCCCCCCTCCCCCCGCCGCTCCCTCCACGCCCTGTTCACTGCCCCGCCTCCGCCCCCAGAGGCAGCGCCTCCGCAGGGAAGTCTAGGTCCTGGACCTGCCCTGTCCAGTCTGACTGCTTTGTCCTGTGGCCGAGGACATGGACCCCCGGGGTGCTGTGCTGTGCCCCTGGAAGGCAGAGGCAGAGCCAGGCTAGGTCAGGTCTCCCCAGCCTCCAGGGCCTGTGCTCTGGCCCACGCTGCGTCCGCTGCCCCACTTCCTGTCTGTTCCTACGAGTGCCAGGACTGGGCGGCGTCCCCATGCAGGGGGACCCTGGCCAGGCTAGGGGTTTGAGCTGAAGGAGCTGGCCTGAGCCCTGGCAGCTGGACCTCAGGGGCTGATGGAGGCGCTGTTTGCCTTCGGCTGGTTCTCATCCCCTGGTCTACTGAGCGCCCCAGGCACTTGCGAGTGTGGGTGCCTCTGAGAGAAAGGGGCTGGGTGCGCCGGCGAGGTGGTCCCCCGCGGGTGCTGGCCCCAGGGCTGTGTCGGCCTCCAGAGGCCGCCTCCTGACTTCCGCGTTGTGGTGTGGCTTTGGCTTGAGCAGAAGGGCCGGACGGTGTCAGTGCTTTCCGTGTGTGACTGGGCAGAGCTGGGCGAGACCGAGGCGTCCCCTGCCCTTCTCACTGCACGCCTGCCAGGAGGTGGCGGCGGGGGCGGGGCCAGGGGGTGGACGCCACCTGCATTCGCTCGTGTCGTGGCTGCTCGGAGTGGACGCTTGGTGATCGGGCCGCCGCACCCGGGGCGCTCTCTGGCCGTCCAGCTGCTGTCTCTGTGTCCTGGTCTGGTCAGCGGTTCTGCTTCTCTGGGGAAGGGGTGGGCTGCGCAGCCCAGGCGCCAGGCCTCCCGGGGTGAAGGGTCCGGGCCGTCCGCGTCCCCCACGCTGCATGTCTCCCGCCTCACGCTTCCCGCTAACGCCGCCTGCTTCGTAGAGGACCGCACGTCTCTCCTGGCAGTGGCTGGCCCAGCCACGCTCCATCCATTCCGTAGGCTGCCGGCCCCCTTCCTGGCCCACCCTCGCCCTCCCACCCAGCCAAGCCCCCCACCAACCTCCGTCTTTCCCTTTCTGGTTCAGGTGGTCCCCAAAAAGAAAGAGCGGAAGGTGGCTTCGGATGACGACCTCTCGGAGCAGGACGGGGAGGTGAACCGCTTCTCGGACGACGAGGTCGGCTCCATGAACATCACGGACGAGATGAAGCGCATGTTTAACCAGCTGTGAGTGCCCCGCGTGGCTGCACTTGTGTCTGGTTAGGCCGGCAGAATGTTCTGGAAGAATTGGGTTGTGTTTTCAACATTTCAACCACAGGGGAGGGTTTGTGTTTTTAGCTTCGCTTGGAAGCCCGAGAAATCAGGCATACCGGGCCATTGTTTTTTTTGTTTTTTTTTGACAGGCAGAGTGGACAGTAAGAGAGAGAGACAGAGAGAAAGGTCTTCCTTTGCCGTTGGTTCACCCTCCAATGGCTGCCACTGGCGTGCTGTGGCCGGCGCACCGTGCTGATCCAATGGCAGGAGCCAGGTGCTTCTCCTGGTCTCCCATGGGTGCAGGGCCCAAGCACTTGGGCCATCC